ATGTAGCCATACAAATCAAAGTCTCCTCCTTTCTCTCTCCATATCGTACCACCTAGTTGTGGAAATGATGGATGCACCATTTTCAATTTCACATTCATCATACCTCCATTCATTACACTGGGATCTTCCACTTGGACCCATTTTAATTATAATCAACACAAAATAAATAAATAAGATAAATGTTACTTGTACGATTTATATATATATTTATTTATTTATTTTAGCATATCAGGTTCTGAAGTGAATGAGGAAAGGTTGTGTACTATGTACCAACACTCCTAATTCAATTTGCCATCTAGCTTGAAAGGCTAACATTAACTAATCAAAGAAATTTTCTTACTTATCATTTAAAGATTTGGAGAAACCAGATAATAATGAGATTGGTCTAGATGATTTCCTTATAAAATTTGAAAAAAAAAAAGTTTAATAAACCCTAAAGAGAAATGCTAGTTATAATAGTCTGAGTGGCAATAGATGATTTAATATGAGAAAATATTGATTTTCTCAGTGAAGACTTTTTTTTTTTTTTGCTAGCATTAAGGATGTAAATAATATAAATTTAAATAATCTAAAATGTTTGGTGAAAGATGTTCAATTTGTAACAAGAAAGAAAAACACTTTTTTTTTAATGAAGAAATCTTATGGGGTTAGTGGTTTCGTATTTGATAGAAAAAATGATTTTCTATTTGACAAGGAAAGTGGTTTCCCAGTAAGGAAAATGATTTTTCTAGTATATTAATTATAAATAAATACTTGAGACACACTTTAAAAATAAGATACAACAACCATTTATTTTTTCTTTCTAGTTCATAACTACCAAACTTTCAAGAATGGTTTATATATAACACTTTATTTCCAATTATCCAATAATTGATAACAAAGATTAATTTTGATATAATTAATACATATAGAATCTTTTAAAATTTCAAGAACATAAATCCAAATACACCTCAATATTATTGTTTTAATTTAGTTTAGACATAAAATAGATATTATTCTACCAAAAATGTTATGAGCACTCTTCTTATAGACACCAAAAATGTTATGAACACCAGTGTTTATTAAACTTTTTTTTTGCAGATTTTATAAGAAAATCATGTAGACCAATCTCATTATTTTCCGATTTCTCCAAATCTTTAATGATAATAAATAAGAGCATTTCTTTGGTTAGATAATGTTAGCCTTTCAAGCTAGATGGCAAATTGAATTAATGTTAGGTACATAGTACAACCTTTCCTCATTCACTTCATAGAACCTGAAAAAAATTCATTAAAAATATTTATCTCTTAAATGAATCTTAATATCTAGAAAAATTGATTTGTAAATACAATGGACCATAAAAAAAATGTAAATTAAAAACAAAAGAAAAAAAAGTAGAATAACAATTGATAGCAATCATGAGCATAATAATTTAAATATCAATATTAAGAAAGTAAGTAATCTCACTAATACACATTACCCAAAAAACACCTTTTAGCCTTAATGCATGCACACTGATAAACCCTAATTTATGAAAGGATTAGTGTAATATAGCTTTATGAAATTTCAGCATCAACTTGGTAACTAGTTAATCAAAGCAATCACTTTCATGAAATTTCTTGTCACAATTATGTGATATGCAATCTAAAACCCTTGGCTTTGTTTTGTTTGTGATATCAATTGGAGGACCAAAGGGAAAAATCCAAAAATGGTTACTTTAAATTGCACATGCCTCCAAATAAATGTCCTCAATCAATAGGAGTTCCCAAATAGATATGCATGATCCATCCCTATCTAATTAATATATACATATAACTTCATATATGTGATTGTATTTAATTAAAAGTTTATGTCAAGAGTTAGAAATCAATTCTATTTCAAGTTTTTGAGTGGAAATGCAAGAAAAATTTGCAACCTTTTAGAGCTGGTAGACATTGTTATCAAATTTATTTGGTTGATTTCTTTTATTTTTCTTTTATGACACCAAATTCATGGATCTTATAAAAACCTAATTAGAGCAATGATTGCATTTTAAAGAAAAAGCAATTTATATGATTGCAATTTCTCTGAGAATCTGTCAATAAATATCTCTGCCAGCGTGTGTGAGATAATAATAATGAGAAAATTATTTCAGCCTCAAACCCTACAAGAAACTATAACAAGTGAAAATATGGCATGGAAAAGTTGCTTCAGAGTTTCTGAAATTTTTTTATGTAACTTTGTTTTTATAATTCATTCTAAAGATTCTAACTTTTGCTTTATTTCAAGTGCCCTCGTTAAAAAGTAGAGCGATTTTAAATATATGTAATAACTTTTGATATATTTAGAACAAATTTTTAAAATCATTTTAAGAGAGAAGAATGCAAAAAGAATTATACCATGTTTTAAATTTGTATGAAAAAAAGTTATAACTTTATTTTCTTCATATTTTTCTCTTTTAAAATTGTTTATAAGGAAATTTGTTTAAATAGGTGGTTTATAATGTGGAGAAATCGATTTTGTGATGTTACGAAAAAAAAATCATTAAACAATATTTGAAATATCCTTTTTAGAATAGTCCAACATGGTTTTTACATATTCTCATAAAATTTATTAAAAAATTAAAAATTAAGAGGTTTTCTGTAATTTTCAATAGGTAATATTAGTGTGAAAACTTTATACTATAAATTAATAAGAAATTATAATATTTATTATTTTTTAAGTACTTATTATAAAAATTAAAAATTATTTTCAGTGAAAGAGAATATTTAATTTTATTAACATTAAGATAAGAGTCAATTTTTATATTTAATGTTTTAATTATATTGAAATTTCAATTTCATCATAATTTTATCTTTAAAATATATTTTAATAAATTAAGAATAAAAAGTATATATAAACTAATTTTGATTTCTCGTCTATCTAAACAAGAAACAGAGTCATCAACCTTCCAATATATATATATATATATAAAACTTTGGCATCAATGTATATAAAGAACAGTTGAACTATTACATAAACAAAACACACAGGTTTTATGTATGTATCTCTGCACTATATATACAATATTTAAAAGCATATTTGAGTTATTCTTTTTAAATCCTTGCAAGTTATATATTATATAAAAAGAGAGAGACATTTTGTAGGTGAAAGTAAATAATTGGAGGAGATCTACAATGGAATCAAAGAATTAATTGTTTTATGAGAAATTGCATTATTGAGTGGCGTTAGGGCTTTAATTGTGTTGCATGAGAACTCATCTTCATGTGTGTTCTCATAATAAAACCAACCAACCCTTAATTATATTATTAGTTATTACTATTTCATGCATCAACAAATTCCTCTCAAAGCATCAAAGTAGGTGTTGCAGATGCACATCATGCACTGCATCTCCTCAAATTCCCACTTCCTTCTGTTCTGCTGTGCCCTTCTTTTCGATCGATGTGCTTCCCTACTCTCTTACCTTCCACCATTTTTCACCAATTATTCTCACTCCATAATTCTTCTTCCTTTTTTTAATACCTCCCAAAAGTCAAACATGTATTAATAAATTCCATCTTCCCCACCACCAAGGACAATATACAGTGAATTAGAAGTTGTCCCTTAGCCACCACAAACCTCGTTTTAACTCAATCATGTTATCATTCAATTATTGGCTTTTTTGAATGAGGTTTAATATCCAAAAGATTCTTATAAATGAGATACAAATCAATTATATCAGAAAAAATCGTTTTTCTGCTGTGAAAATTGTTAAACTGTAGCTGAACCAGTGATGATATATAAATTGGTCAGAATAATGTCAAAGGATGGTTAACAGATATTATACATAAATAGAAAGAGGAGATGTTTGAAACATAATACCTCTTAAAAATAAGTAAATAATAATAACAACAAATAGATTAAGATTAAAGATAATAAATGATTGAGATGAAAATCTAATAAATATTAAACCAGGTTTTTCCTTCACTCTATCTTCCTCTCATTTGTTACAATATTACAAATATATTCTTCCTAATTCTTTAGTCATGTCATTACGACAAAAACCTATTCATTCTCATTAATTCTTTTCATATATATTAACATTACATTCTTCTTCTTTTTATTTATTTCACTCATTATTGTATTTAATTTTCAACATCATATCCCTATTCATTAGTTTGGATTCTTTTTCTTTTCATTCTCTTTCTTCCATTCTTCTTTTCTGAACATTACATCCAAATTAAGAGAAGAAAAAATAGAATTAAAAAAACATGTGTTTTAATTTTAATTAAATTTTGATCTCAACCATGTAGATATATTTAAGAAAATATTCTCATAATATATATATATATATATATATATATATATATATATATATATATATATATATAAATTGTCATCACTTAAAGTCTAAATGTTTTCCCACGTGGTCTCATGTGTTTCTTGGGGTCCCCTTTTGGTGGTTAAATATATATACGTTTGTATATGGTCAACCTGTTTCATATGATGTAATGATGATTGAGAAGCATCTAATCGTTCAATCATGTTTCTCCTTTTCTTTTGCCAAACGGCTGGTCATGTTCTAAGTATATTTTATTCTGTCTTTTTTTCTCCAAGTGGTTGAACGGTGTAAAATTAATTAAAAATATAAAAAGATATTATTTTTTTTTGGTAACCTTTGCCGTTATGATAGTTATATGATTAGTTAACATGAAGATGAACCCTTTTAATGCAGTTAATGGTAGGAGCAATTTAAATAATGGTATATATTTGAGTTTCTCAGCTCCAATTATTAACTACCAACATGGTCAAATTATGCTACACGTTCGAGTAGTCATACTTTCATATTTATTGCTGTATCTTTGTTGCTATCAAGTGACATGGAACAAGAAAGAGGAAAGGCTCATTAACAAGTTCAACCTCTCTATTTAAGCCTCTCCAACTCCTCTCTTCCTTCAATCCAAACATTTTCAAACCTCAAAAAACCCATCTTTCTCTCTCTCAACTTCCAAAACTGCTGTTTCTTTCTCCTACACACAAAAACACAACACAAGTGTGTGAAAATGGAAAACTTGTTTCGCCTAGTTGATTATGAGGACATGTTCTCAAAACGTTGCATTTGGGTCAACGGTCCTGTGATCGTAGGTGCAGGTCCTTCGGGACTAGCCACAGCAGCGTGCCTCAAACAACAAGGGGTGCCCTTCATGGTTCTGGAACGTGCTGAATGCATAGCCTCATTGTGGCAAAAACGCACTTACGACAGATTAAAACTCCACCTTCCTAAACAGTTTTGTCAGCTCCCTAACCTTCCATTCCCACAAGACTTCCCCGAATACCCCACCAAGAAACAGTTCATAGACTATCTCGAATCCTATGCACGACACTTCAAGATAAACCCACGATTCAATGAGTGTGTCCAATGCGCGAGGTACGATGAAACCAGTGGGTTGTGGAGGGTGAAAACTGTTTCCACGTGTGGCTCTGTCAAGAATGAGTTTGAGTACATTTGCAGGTGGCTGGTGGTAGCCACTGGTGAGAATGCGGAGTGTGTGATGCCTGAGATAGAAGGGTTGGGGGAATTCAAAGGGGATGTTATTCATGCATGTGAGTATAAAAGTGGGGAAAGATTCAAGGGGAAGAAAGTTCTTGTTGTTGGTTGTGGTAACTCTGGAATGGAACTCTCACTTGACTTATGCAACCACAATGCATCTCCTTCCGTCGTTGTTCGCAGCTCGGTATAAACCTTCTCCTTTCTATATAAAGTTCTGAAGTTCGCAGCACTCAAATTGCTTACTTTACACTTGTTCACTTCGGAGGAGTAAATTTTTGGAAAAAAAGTTGTTTTTTGGTTTTTTGTGCTTTGACTAAGAAAGCATTTAAATTTTGAGGGTGGTGATTAAATGGGTTGGTTTGTTTTTGGTTTGGCAGGTTCATGTGTTGCCTAGAGAAGTGTTTGGGAAATCAACGTTTGAATTGGCGATTTTGATGCTGCAATGGTTACCACTTTGGGTGGTTGACAAAATCCTTTTGATGCTGGCATGGTTGGTATTGGGGAACATAGAGAAGTTCGGGCTCAAAAGACCTATGGAAGGTCCTTTATTGTTGAAGAACACAAAGGGTAAGACCCCTGTTTTGGACATTGGCACCTTGGAGAAAATTAGATCCGGTGACATAAAAGTTGTTCCAGCAATAAAGAGGTTCACCAATGGCCGCGTTGAGCTTGTTAATGGTGAAAAGCAAGACATTGACGCAGTGGTGCTTGCAACAGGGTACCGCAGCAATGTCCCTTCTTGGCTTCAGGTAAGAATTTGTTTCCACTTTCTATTCTACAACTCATTTGGAAAGAAAAGAAAAGTATCCAAAAAATTTATTCACTGTATGTGAATAGAAATATAATGAATTTTGGTTTTGTTGCGTGCAGGAAGGTGAGTTTTTCTCCAAGAATGGTTTCCCAAAGTGTCCATTCCCAAATGGTTGGAAAGGAAATGTTGGGCTTTATGCTGTTGGGTTCACCAAGAGAGGCCTTTCTGGTGCCTCTTTTGATGCCATCAAAATTGCTCAAGATATTGGCCATGTTTGGAAACAAGAGACTAAGCAAACGAAACATCGTACCACTGCTTGTCACAGACGTTGCATTTCTCAGTTCTGAAATAACTCTTTTAAGTCCCATACAAACCATACGAGCCATGTCATGTTGTTTGTTTTAGATAGGAGTTTTTTGTTGTATAAACAAAACAACAACATCTTTTGTATGAATATTACAGGAAAAAAAATACACAAATAACACAGAAAAATAGGTACATAGCCCTCTCCCTCTGCCCAAGTTTTCAACCTTTTTTGGGCTTTACTTCAGAAATCCGAGGATGAAGAGGCTTTTTTTTTTTTTTTTTTTTTTATATATATATTCACACAACTTATACATGTATTAGATATTCCATTCTTCAAGTTAAATGACACAGTTTCTCTTTCATTTGCACAATCTCATTTCTTCTTTACTTTATTTTTTTCAATGTTGGTGATTAAAAGTGAATGTTTTTTTTTTCTCTTTCGGTCACAACTTTGGGTTGGTAGGTTGTGTTTTAAGAACATTTTGAATTATAAAAATTTGTTTAAGAATAAAACTAAATAATTTATTATAATTTTAAATATAAATTATTTAAAATTTAAAAAAATAATTTTATTTATTTTTTAAATAATTTATGTGTGAGATTTATAATAAAATATTTATTTTTATTTATAAAAATTTTAACTTTATTTGTTAGCAAAGAAAGAAAGTACGACACAACAAAAAGAGAAAAAAAGAAATAGAATAGAGACTATTCATGTTTGTTTGAAGAAAAAAAAGATGAAAGTAAATGAAAATTGTTATTTAATTAGAAATTAATATTTATATAATTACTAAATTATCTATATAATTATTTTAGGTTGTTAGAATATTTATTAATAAAAGGATAGTTTTGTTAGCACTTTCCATTCTTTTCTGATGATATATGAGAAGAAAAATGTATTTGAAAAATGATTTTGTTTTTCTTAGTCATTTACTTATTATCAAATAAGGAAATTTAAACCAAATAAGATATTTATTGGAATACTTAATAAACAATTAATCATTTAAAGTAATTTTCATTGAAAAGTCTTGGATGACAATAAATTTTTAAAATTTTACTAATTATTTTATCAAATAACATATAAAAAGAAAGAAATAAAAAAAGTTATTTAAAATAAAAAAAATATTGCAAAAAGATTAATTATGAGTTAGTTAAGTATAATCTTATATACTAAATCTATAATTTGTATTTTCTAGAAAAAAAAATCATATAAGTTTCTTCTAGGAAAATGTCTTAAGTTTTTACTTATTTATCTCATTCTAAATAGTCTAAGTATTGACTCAATTTTTATAACTGAATTTTTCTTATTGATAATTTATTGTTTTATTTTTTTATTCTTAATAAATTTATTAAAACTTACTTTTTAAGTAAGACAAAGATTTATTATTTATGAAAAAAAGACATAAATATTGAAACTGAAAACGTAATTGAAATAATTGATCTTTAAATAAAAATAACAGGATTTTAGAACTAATTAAAAATTTGTAATTATAATTATCCAAAATATAATTACCAAAAATATATTTATATTCATGATATAAAATTACAATTTGAAAAAAATGTAATATAATTTGATATTTATCAACTTATTTTAAGGGTTTAAAAACTTTGACTAAAAAATTTATATCATTGGTTTAGGATATGTTTATATAATTTTTTTCAATTTGATATATTTACAATTTCAATCCCAAAAGAATATAAAAAATTATATAAAATACACATTGATACTTATTGATTACAGAGTCTTTGACTAACTTAGTTTCTAAACAAACTTCAAATTCAATCAGTTTCGCTCTTTATTGGCTTGGAGAGATGTCATTAATAGTGAACCAGACTCCACCATTTGGTTTTGAAGAATCATTTCCTAGTAGGACCAAAGTCAACTTCTTCATCAAGAGGGTCATACATGAACTTATGCCTACCTTTCGATTGGAATGTGTTGGTAATCAAAATTTTGGTTAGGCCTTCAAAATTAGGGAATTTTGTTTCTGACTCTTCCAAATAATACCCTTCAACAATATTAGAGTAAAACTTCATTAATGTCTAAAAAAATAATATAAAATGTGATATTTATTAAAAAAAAAGAAAAAAAAAGTGATGATTCATGATTAATTCAATATTTATAATTTTCTGGGGAGATTCTTGAACTTAACTATGGATATACACATGCTTTTTTACTTGGTCACAAACTCTAATTATTTTTGTAATGGCAAGAGAATCTGAGTGATTAGAAGAGAAGTAGAAAATTTGTTTAAAGAATGATTTTGCTTGCATGCATAAAATATGGACATGGCCTGCCACATGCAAAGCCATGGTTGGGGCAGGTGCAATGCTCCTAACAATTAATTAAGAACATAACTTCAAGATTAATCAGGAACATGACTCATAAAATCTGTTGGGATCTATGTTCATTCCATTTAAATATTTCATTGCTTCAAAACAATCAATTAATCCATCACTTAATTACTTAATCGTTAGTTAATTGTCATTCCTCTTGTAAATTATTTAAATGATTAAACTATTAATTAGTACTAAACTAAACACCAGGTGTTTGATGATGTTATTTAGTTTTACAGTAAAAAGAAAAAAATCACTCAAACCAAAAATAAAATTTAAATATATTTAAATCAATATTTACAGTTTAGTTTAAATCAATTTTGTGATTTTTTTATTATAAAATTGTTAAATATAGGATAATAAAACATTATTAACTAAATAAACATATGTATAAATTTGTATCATTTTTATAATTTTATTTTGTATTTAATATGTTTTCAGATTTAATTTAAAAAATAACAATAAATATCTTAAATTATGAGAAAAGAATTTGATTAATTGAAAAAATATATCATCTTATAATTTTATTTTAAAAGAATATATTATAATTTTGATTCAATTCAATTTAAATTATTTTTTATTATAAAACTGAAAACTAAATTAAATTAATCAATTTAAAAAAATGATTTTGATCAATTTTTAATTTTTTTAGTTTTCGATTTATTTTTAGATTGATTTTTTTTAATATCTAAACATCGTCTCCTCTCTAATAAAGTTAGTTATCGTAAACCATCATTTCACTTAGTTTTTAATAAAATTTTATGCTTAAATATCTTTATTTTTAATAAATATACTAATTTATATTTAAATTCTATTTTTTTCCTATTTTGTTATTATTTTACATTTAATCCTTATAATTATGTACCCTGTTTTTATTATGGATATGGTTATTAATTTTTTATTTCATCATTTATGTTCATATGTTTTCTCCTTTTGATATAAATAACTTTTTAAATATTTTTAATTAGAATTTGTTGTTGAAATAATTTGATTAACTTAATTATAAAAAAATAACAACCTTAATATACGTTCTTTCCTCGGTACGTTTGTTTGTGTTTCGGTTATTAAAACATGGAGAAAATTATTATAGATAATATAAAAGGAAAAATTTTAAAATTAAAATTATAATGGGTAGGGTCTTATGTGTTTGTCGTGACATATAATTAATGGCTAATAAAAAAATCCAAACCCAAAATTTATGACCAATATTTTAATACCAATCATATTTACTAAGATTATGTTTTCTTATATTCTTAAAAAAAGTCGGTGTAGTTTTCTCTCTCCTCAATTCTTCCAAAATCAAAATATCATAATTTCAATATTTTATTCTCATGCTATTTTCATACATATTAAAATTTATATATAATAATATATAAAGATTTTTTTATCATTACAAAATATTTATTTTTCTTTATTTTTAATTATATATTTTTATATTTTCTCTCTTAAATATAAAATGTTAATTTTTCATTACTTTCAATTACACGCTTAGTTTGTTTGTTTTCTTAAAATTTTATTTTACATTAAATTAATGTATTTAATCTTAATATATACATTAAATTAATAAAAATGCAAATGCAACTGTGTTTTTTATTATACATAATAAAAATTAATCAATATTATTATTGGGTGTATTTCTCTTTAATTATAATATTAAAAAATCATTGAATATTATAGACGTAGAAAATGTTATGATTTTTTAATAAATTGTGATTAATAAGAGAGAGAGAGAGAGAGAGTATATTTGGCATTTCTTATAGTTTAATTCAAAGTATAAATTGGTAACAATGATGGAGAAAAAAAAAAAAAGTTTCTAACTTGTGGATGTTGTTCTAATGATTGGGTGTAGCTGAGTGCAATTTTTATAAACCTAAATAATGATGAAAGAGGGTCTAAAAACATTGGATGTTGTGGGTGTCATTTGTGTATACTATGCAATGGAAAGTGGAAATTGGACATAGAAAGAGGTTTTGGTTTCACAAAACTTTCTTTTCTTCAAATCTTTTGGGACCCTTTCTTAATCATGAGCTGAACCAAACCCTAATCTTTTTAATATGAAGTATTAATATTATATTTAGTTAATGTCCAAAAAAAAAATTCATATTCTTTAGTTGACCCAGAAGAAAGTTGTACCTACCAATCTTATGTGATGAAAGCAATTAGGAGGAAGAAAGTAAGAGACAGATATTGAATTGAAAGAAAGTAAGAGACAGATATTGAATTGAAAACTGATTCGAACGATAAAGTTTGGATTTTTATTTTCTACTGTTCATAAGGACAGACTATAGCTGTATGTGTTTTATTTGATTTGATGTCTCTTTCCAAATGTTACCACACTTTTAGTAACCATTTCATCGTCTTTTTAGTAATATATATATATATATATATATATATATATATATATATATATATATATATATATATATATATATATTTCATTTAAAAAAGAATAACAAAATTTTTATGATTTATATATATTTATAAATTTAATCCAACTAAATTTAATAATTATTAAATATATTTATTTATTAATATCATATAATTTATTCTACCAAAATTATTCATCCATATGGACTGTTATAAAAAGTGATGAGAAAGTTGAGTTTTTTTTTTTAAAAATAGGTACGATAAGTGTTATATAATATAATACAAAGATCAACATAAATAGAAAAATTAAAAAAAATGAAAACAAATATAAAATTTA